CACATCGGAACACGAAACCCAATGATTGGTAATGCTCAATGCCGAAATGGTGCAGTTTATGGTAAACCGCGCCACGCTGACGTGAACGAAGCTATGCCCGAAAATGACAACGACTATGCACTTTTTGAATCGTCATTACTGCATGATACATTTTTGCGCAAAAAAACATGTCATGGTATGTTGATGCATTTGGTTGCTGTTTTCGCTTTTCCGATAAACAAAGACAATCCACAAGCTCAGCTTGACGGTTTCTTGACGTCATATATGATTAATAAGATTTGTTAACGTCTTGACGTCATATCTGATTTAAAAAATTTGTTAACGTGTTCAGTGAGCGGTCATTTTTCACGCTGAGGAGACATCAGCGTTTCGACATGCATTCTACACATGTTCACACTGTAAGCGTTAGCGAGTACAGAGCAATACTAAGCTTTAAGATTCGTGTAGTTGGGATGGTTCGTTGTAATACGGTCTCGTCTGTTATAATGTGTTTTTACGTTCGCGCTTTTGTTACCAATTGACTCGCAAAAGTGTCCGTTTTTTCACCAATCATATCTGGTAAATTAGGAGTTTTTACATCCATGCTCGTTACAAGCCCACTGCACGAACTAATAGAACGTCAAGCTATCCATAATCCTCATCAAAGCGAAAATTTGAAATATCCTCTGGGGGACCCACTGAAGATTAAAGCAAAATTGATTGTCCATCGCAATACACATTCAGCTAATCACATGATTCAGTAACCTTGCGCGCAACCTCGAAAAATGCAACGGGAGACGGACCATGGGTCCGGAGATCGCTGTTTTCAGACAACGCGCCGGGCTAATCCCTGCGCCAGGTATGCACTCCGACGTATGTTTGATGTATTGTCGGGGACAGTATAGGATGCAAACATAACTTTATCGGAGAGGCGGTTCTTCAGAAAATGCGACAGCATCTTACCTGCCTGCTCTCTGTGTTTATATATTATATATATATATATATATATATATAATATATATATATATATGTATATATATATATATATATATATATATATCTCTCTCTCTCTATCTTATCTATCTCTCTCTCTCTCTCCTCTCTCTCTCTCTCCTCTCTCCTCTCTCTCTCTCTCTCTCTCTCTCTCTCTCTCTCCTCTCTCTCTCTCTCTCTCTCTCTCTCTCTCTCTCTCTCTCTCTCTCTCTCTCTCTCTCTCTCTCTCTCTCCTCTCTTCCTCTCTCTCTCCGACAAGAACATTGGCAATTGCAAGATCTTGGAAGGCTCAAGTCATTTGTGATTTTCGGTGAGGAATAAATTATTTTTTATGCCTCGTAACAGACACCCAGTGCAAGTGAGCAGTAGTATGCAAAGACGCTCTCTATTTCAGTATTGATGTTGAAGTATCTGGCTTATGCAGCACTGTAAACAAATTACTGGAATGGGTACAGATATTTCATATTTTTGTTTGCCAAACCAGGTGAACGCTCAGCGATAAAATGAATAGCGTAATTTTGTTCCTATATACCTAGTTACCATTAATATCCATTCGGTAATGGTGGGTGGCATTGTTCAAACTACTCTGTATATATATATATATATATATATATATATATATATATATATATATATATGTGGTGTGGTGTGGTGTGGGTGTGGGTGAGTGTGTGTGTGGGTGTGGGTGTGTGGTGTGTTGTGGGTGTTGGTGTGGGTGTGGGTGTGGATGTGGGTGTGGTGGGCGTGTGGGTGGGCGTGTGGGTGTGGGTGTGTGTTTGTGTGCATGTCTTGTTCATTATGTGGCATTGCTTCTTCACTCTGTGTAGCTGGAGCACTGCTAGCAATCAACCGCGGTACCGCGGTACTGTAGCAATCAACCGAGGTCGAAAAAGCGTCCACTCGCCCACGAACGTGGGAGATTCATAGCAATGCCTGCCCTCCATGAAAGGAGACTGAAACTCATATTGCATGAGGCTGTTGGGGATTGAAGCGCCCTCGCATTAACATGTTGGTTAACACGAGCCCGGGTGGCCGCCTGGATACCCGTCGCTCGGGTAGGGGAGTCAGTTTGGCCCGTCGCACTGAGATGTCTGGAGCTAAGTGAGCTAAAAACACCACATTTACGGGGTGTACTGGTCCGTACCTGAACTCTCTCAGGTCAAAGTTTGAGGTTCCGAGATCATGACCTTCGGGTTAAGTAACGTCAAACAAGGTTAATTTCTGGACTGGTCTCCCAGAGTGCCCCCAGAATCTAGATACCTGTTCTAACATAAAGTTGCATAATCATTTTAAGTCAGTGACCTAATTTGACCTTTCAAAGCTTAGGATGACCAAAATTGCACCAGGATGCTTTGAGCTTTGCATCTGGATATGCAACAAATTACGCCAGGCAGTATGTTTCTAAAAACAAACTGTTGGCCTGGGCCATTTTAGATCAGTGACCTACTCTGACCTTTGTGAAGTGCATGGAAGATGCATAATGCGGTTCCTGTTATCAATAAACTCGAAAGGAGCACCATAACTAACCCAGACAGCAAGCCCTAGAGTACTAAAACAGATTGGCTTTTGACCTTGGTGTGACCTTCAAAATGACCTAAGTCAACTGAATTTGCTCAT